GAGAGGCAAACCTTCACATTGGCAAAAGCCGTGATGTCATATATAAAATTGAATGAAACCATTTACGATGTTTTGTCCAACATGTCGTAACATTACGAATCTATCGGTCTATCTATATACAATTTCCCTCTGCTGTTTGTGTTTCTTGTGTACAATTTTTGTGAAAATGGCCGGAGAAACGTAGGATGAGGGCGACGATATATCTGACCCACAAGCAGCTACTCGAACCGTGCTACGAGCCAGGAGAACCCTCTGTTTAGACGCTGTGCGCACCAAAAGACGCTAAAGAATGTTTAATTACCTATTGATTGTTTCAGTATCACATGGCGGAGGAATGCGCGGATAGGAAAAAAATTTACAGAGTTGATCATCAAAAAACTCTGGGTGAGGAGAGTAACTTCATTCCTGTCGGGGATACCCTCCGAATCGCCGAGCACCGCTAGCCGTGTGCTCTCCAAAGCTCACGGCTCACCTCTACGTTAGCGAGTCGCTTCTGCGCGCGAACATTAGATCAAATTGAACGCAAGAAAAGAACAGAAAAATTCCACATACATTTCCAGCGTATCGGTAGAAACTATATGTTCAGAATATATAAAGAAAGCTGTCACTTTATCACGAGGCACCAATAGGTCATATCACCTGACCTATTCTTTCTGACACCTTCGTTCCTCTTTCTTCTTCCAAGTATCATTTTAGTGGTATTTATATTCGAAACTGTTATTCATGCATGTTTTTATTGGAGGCAGTCAAACGGTTCGGCTGAATCGACTCTTTCCAATGAAAAATAGCATTTCATTAGCAGTTAGTGGTGCTTCTGTTTCACAGCTCCTGACGAATCCCTGGTTAAAAGGCATTCTTCGGGATCATGTGAAACGGATTCCCTAAGGATATCACTCGAATGATACGCTGTTCCTCTTGGCGGGTACCAACGATTTTCTTCGCGGAGTGTCCGTAGGGCACTTCCAAAAGAATTTCGTTGCTCTACTTGATTTCGCCCGTAGACATTTTGGACGAATCGTAGTCGCCAAAATTCCACCGATTCCTCGCCTTCCGCGCCGGGTTAATGAGGAGATTGCTTTGGTGAATCGTTGGCTGGAGGACGTCTGCCGCCCACGAGGACCCAAAGTTATCCTCATTAACTCCTTCGATCCATTCATTGATTCAGATCCCGGACGTGTAAGGACAACTTTCTTCGAAAGTCGTTACTCGCATGGCAAAAAGGACCTGATTCATTTGAATCGATCGGGGCTGGCCGTTCTTCATCGCCTCTATTCAGAAGCCGCAGGGGTGTAATTCTTAGCTAGTTACCTTGGCTTCTAACTTTTTTGAAAGGAGTGTCAGGCTGCCTCCACCTTTAGAAAGGTCCTCCAAAGGATTGATGAAGTGCATCATATTTTATTTTTCCACCGTCAAGTTTATAATCAGCGATTTTTATGATGCAAGCATCGGCTCCTTTAAATCATATCATCGATTCAAATCAACTCCACTTATTCAACGTCATTTATCGCTCTTCTTTTTTTTTTTTTTAGAATTTTCGGTCTATTTCTAATTAAGTTTTTTCTAGATATTTTACCAATACATGGATAATGTATAATGTAAGCTTTTCAAAAGTGCACCTTGAGTTCGAGGAAGAGAAAAAAAAATGAAAATTGCAGTGACGATTCATGAGATGCTCGGATTACCGTGGGAAAACCCGCCTTTTCTGAGCATTTCCGGCCGGTTTCCATTTCCGTTTAGCTCCGTAACACATCGATGCACTTTTATTAGTGTTAAGTACTCGATAGATTACATCATAAGATTGAAGTAAAGAGAAAAAATTAAAATTTCAGTGACTATTCAGGAGATGCATCGGTTCCCGTGTAATAAATCGTTTTTTGCCGTCATTTTTGAGCATTTCCGGCCGGTTTTAGTTTCCGTTTAGATCCGTGCCCCATCGATGCACGTTAGTAAGTGTTTATTACTCGTAAGTATATACCTTAAGGTTGAAATAGGTAGAGAAAATTAGAAATTGCAGTTACAATCCATGGTATGCATCGGTTACGATGTGAAAAATCGCCTTTTTGCGTAAATTTCGAGGATATTTGGTCGGTTTCCGGTTTCCCTCAGGCCGTTAATCGATCGATGAATGTATGGGAAGCGTTGCTAGTCTGATTTTATACATATTAGAAGGTAGAAAGGGAAAAAATATCGATAATTGAAGAGTTTACTATTTAAAGATTTGGATTAACATGTAAAAATTCGTCTTTTTTTATCATTTTTGACCTGTTTTGGCCTATTTGAATTTTTTTAGGCCCTTAACCGTCCGAGTTCCATTGAAAAAAGTAAATGAACCGAAAGTATACATCCTGAGCTTGAAGTAAAAAAAAAAAAATCGAAAATCTGAGAGACAGTTTTTTCGAGTTTTCAGTTTGAACATTGAATAGCGAAAAAATCGTAAATTTTAAAAAACCCTAAATTACGGCCATTAGAATAATTTTTAGCTAAATTTCGATGGCATATTCAGAATCTACATAAAAAACTGGTCTAGAAACACTCTTTCAAAGTATGATGGATTGATACAGAGTCTCGCTATGGAGAGTCAAAGAGAGGGAAGTCGAGAAAATGAGAATCGCTAAAACGGGCGTTTTTGAATATAGCTAAAATTCACCCCATCTTTGGGGTCGATATCTCGCGAACGGGGCGTCAGATGGGAAAACCCTTCAAATTAGTTTCTTATAATGATGTAAAGACCCCGTATACCAATTTTCAGCCAAATCGGAGGGGGTCGGGTTCCGAGCCTGGCACAGTTGACGTGGAATGACCCGTATCCGAAATACATCCATGCATCTTGTAAATAAACATTAACTAAAAAATCTCCGTGGTCTAGCTATATCCCTAAAATTTATTTCCAATATAAAAAAAAAAAAAAAAACACGCAATGTGCAGCTTCACTCATAAAAAAAACTTCTTTGTTTGAAGTTATTTCTTCAGTTATGACACCTAAAGCACAAATTGGATGGAAAGCAGAGCCTTTCAAAAACAAGCACCTGTTTCCACCATTGTTCCTCCTGTTTAGGATGAGGATCTTGTTTTGAAAGCTTTCATTGAATAATTCAATCCTCATTTTGATGAGGACTTCTATAAAAATGCGGCTGCAATGACAAATCTGTATGCTGTCCGAAAGAACAAAAAAAAATTCATCTTGTGTCTCTGTCCGAAATTAAAATATTCATCGGTTTACAACTGTCGGTTTTTCGAGTTTGCCGTACCGTTGTATGTTGTGGGCTAAAAAGACCTATTGGCCTCTTTGCGGCTGATATGTCGCGTGACTGGTTTTTTACTATTCGTAGGAACCTTTATTTTGTGTAGAAACGACCAATTTCGGAGGAGAGAAAAGGAGCTCCTCTACCTGGCATCTCTTTTGAAATGTAGACCACTTCAAACTTTTGTTTTCAAAAGCAAAACATGACTTGCTTTAACGGGAAAAATGAGATCACATTTTATTTCAAAGAGGTTACACGTGAGCAACTCTTTGATTGTTAAAAAGACATGACTATAAAAGACTACGTTTGCAGCCCTAATTGGACCGAGTTTAACAGAAAGGAACCAAGCCACATCAGCTATTGCCAAGTTTAACTGGACAATTAATTTTTTTACAAGAGAACGTTTGTTTGGATTTCTTTGAAAATTTTGAGGAATTTGCTTCGCACCATGGAGAATTTTCGCTGAAATTTGCACGAAAATCCGCACAACCGTTTTCATGTAAAAAATTAAATTGCCCAATTAAATTTGGCAATAGCTGATGTGGCTTGGTTCCTTTCTGTTTAACGCGGTCCAATTGGTAATAAAAAGTTATCTGTAACAACGACCAGCTCCAAAGATGACAACAACAGGTGCAGTAAGACACAGGTTCCCGTAGCTTAGTTTAGCGATTGTGACAAAAAACAACTCATCAGAGTGCCTTGACGACATTGGTGCCTTCAAGGTGACTGAATCAAGTAGCTTTACAGAAAAACTTTGATGACCCAGTAGACCTAATTTCGCATGGTCCGATGCGCAAAGACTTAAAAAATGCTTCAATTTTAGCATTCGGCGGTTAGGAGCAATACGAAATGAAAGCTTGATGTAATATAAGCATTGTTCTGAACGCATTTTCACAGAAATGTGCCCATGAGAAAGTCATGCTTTGATTGAGGTATCCCAGTTTGCAGGCGAATGCTAGATTCATTGCGGCGAATATTGCAATTAAAACAGACTTGATTAACAAGTACTTCAATTGAGAACAGAAATTTAGCGACATAATAGATACATAAACACAAAACTAGAGCAAAAATGTTTGTTTGGTTAAAAAATTGCGTATGTTAGATGATTGACAACTAAGGAAAGATCCTCAGATCATAAGATGACGTTAACAAAGAGAGGTTTAAGAGTAAGAGACGTTGAGATTTTATCTTTTTGATAAATTAGACTCGTCATCATGGCACTATGGCCATGACCGCAATCTTGGCAACTTTTTCAAGAGGGAACAAAACAAATGATATGACAATGCCTTTCAAATGGGCCACTAGACACGGTCTGCAGTAGAAGGTAACGTCACATGTTTTCGGTTCAAAATCTGACATAGAAAATCATTCGCACTACGGGAACTTTTGAAATAAACTCCTGAACAAGAAATTAAAAAGTCGATGTATTAAACACAGATGAAATGGGAGTTTGATTATACAAATAATGTCATTTGTATTTTTGCCGTTTAATCAATGTTAATAGAAATCACTTATATTTTGTTCAAGAGTTGATTTTCAGACTTCCCATTGTGTGATCCATTTTCCTTGTGAAATTTTAAGGAGAAAATATGCAGCACTGTTCTTTAATTCATACTTTGTCTAGAGGCCCCTTATGATGTGGTACAATGAAATTAAGTGGTCTGTCGTTTTTAATCTATTTGCTTATTTTATCCATATCTTGTTGATTATATTTTCAGTCTTAATATATTTCTGCACAAACGTTTGGTACAATCCTCTACATCCAATGATGCACAAAATATAATCTGGGACTTCAAATTTGAAGTAAATATTGGACAAAATAAAATTTTGTCTGCATTTAAGAATAGTTTCTGACTGAATCTCGTTCATGACACACAAACTGACCGACGGCAGTGGCGAAACTTTCTACCTACAATAGTATGGCGTCAGGGTTGCCGCAGAATTTAAAAAAGGAAATTCCCTGACACATCTTGGTAAAATTCTCTTACAATTGAAGATATGCTAGATGGTTAAACAAACATAATTTGAAATAGAATTCAGGCAAAATTATTTGTTTTAAACGTCAAAACTGTTCTTGAACACAAATGAAGTTGACTTAACACTTTTCCCCAGACACTTCAGCCATTATCCCTGATATTTTCTGACTGTGGCAACCATATACTATAAATCACATTGAATGAAATTACCCACTTTGATTTGGATTAATGAATTAAATAGTATTTAATAGTGCTTGACTTGAATGATTGAAATCAATTGCAATAATATGTTCATCAAAATTCGACTGCTCAACAGCTATAGAAACCTGAAATTTCTTGAATAAAACGCAAACTGCTTGACATTTACTCTACCTTTCTGCAATTTCTAATACCTTTTAATACCTTTCCATGACAAGGGAATTGAGTCAATTTTGTGTGGGATCGTTTGATAGCCAATCTCAAGTATTTTAGTGCACAACATGTCACTCACCTATGCCACTCACCCTCCCAAAATAAAACCCCATTCTTCCGCCTAAATTACAAGAAGTACAAAATATGCAGACACAGAAGATACGCAAAGCGACGACCATTCTCGTTCATTGGTAAGAAATGGACCCTCTGCAATCATGTACATCCCATTGATGGTGGTAGGAACATATTTCAGGATGACTCGCAACGCTTTCATAAAGTAAGTCATTAGTTTCATGTTCGTAAGATAGGAACTTTCTACTTACTGCGTACCGCCCTGCAATGAGCATCAGCATTATGGTTATAGCAGAACAGATTCCTCTGCATTGGTTGAGTTTGAGGTCTAGGGGTTTAAAGATGTGGGCAAAATCAGTTTGAACGTGTTACGAGCTGAGTCCAAGGTAGATTCTCTTCCTTCGAGTGCGTATAAAGTTTTCACAATGTTCCACGGATTGAATTTCAGGGAAGGAGATTGCTTGGAGATGGTGATATATCGGTTTTCATTTTTCCCATAACTCTTAGAAACAAATCCGTGCCTCCGAGCAAATCTGGTGTGGGAAGAAGGCAAAGATAGAAGTTATTGATCAGTTTAGAGGCTCTTGGAAGTTATCAACTAGCTTCATCACTGAGCAAAAACTTAGGCTAAATATGATGTGGGAACTCATCAGTTTGGCAGAATCAGTATCAGGAAATGTCCCTTACTAAATATGGATTGCATATTGAAAAAAGGAGCCAAGAGCATTCCGATGTCGCTAAGATTATGCAACTTTCATTACCTGGCAAACATAAACTAATCATATGAACAAGTTTTACTCCCAAAAAACTATGAATTCAAGACAAAAATGACCTTTGTAACTTTAATTTTGTGCGTAATTTAAGTTTTTAATTGTATATTATTGTATTGTATACAATAATATTATACAATATATATTGTATGCATTGTATTATATTTTATTGTTATTAAAGCTCCTTATAACGAAAATTTTTCTAAGGCTTCAGAATTCTCTGGTCTCTTGAACTTTATGCGTTAATGATTGCTGCTTGATAACAAAAAATCGTTCGGTCTGTTGCTGATTCATTACACTGAGAAAGCACTGTGTCTGAAAAGTAATACCTTTTCAAAATATGTATTTAAGAGACATGGTAATTACATTTTTAATATTTTGTAGTATTTTAATACATTTATTTTGAGTGTTTTAATCATAAAAACTGATTCATCATACTTCTTTCTATTTTTCTATTGCTTGTATGATGTTATAGAACTGGCTTGTCCATTGAGTTTAAATTAATGTAAAGCCATTCAGACTTGAAAAGTAAATTAATGAATTGATGAAAAAAAATAAGGCCCTGATTAATAGACATTGGAAAATTTTGCTTTTATTTTTCCCCAATTTCGCGGTTATTTTCCCCGAATTTTGCTGTCATTCTTGCTGATTTCGCCTTATATTTTGTATCGCTTTTTGCGTTTGACAGCTTAAAATAAAGCATTTAATTTTATTTAACGAGCCATCGCTCAGTCTCTCTCTCTCTCTCTAATCCTATTTTACAGAAGGAGCACTTTATTCTTATTTTGAAAAAAAGGGCGGCAAATTTCGTCTTACACGCATACATACGTAAGTTTCACGAAAATGTACCGATTTTGCCAATTTCGCGATAAATCCGGAAAATGGTCGATTTCGCGTTATTTCACTTTATATTTTCGTGATCAGGGGGTTATGATCGGTGCTTCTGTCTGGTTTTTAGATTCCTGAGCACATTTTAAAAATTTCGCGGGGAATCACGGCGGCGAGACTTTCCAATGTCTATGGTGATTAATAAAAAAAAAATACACAATAAAAATTTTCGGGATTTGATTGAGAAAACGCAATGCTGAGGTGTTATGAAATGCATTCATTAATTCAGAGCCCGAGCTTTTCGAACTTCCACCTGTTTTCACTATCAATCAATTGACTGCTCTTTACTTCTTTCTTTTTGCTATTTTACCATTTTTAACAATGTTTTTTGACCTTTCAATTTCTAGTATGCTTGCTAATCTCTGGTTTGTCTTTGCATAGCACTAATGCTTAATGTAGTTTGTAATTGCCCTGATAATGACCGTAAAGGTTGAAAAGCTTCGGCTCCTAACTAATAAAAGCATTTCATAACATCTTGGCATTGTGTTTTCACGATCAAATCCCTACAGTAAAAGCTGGTGGTACCGTGATTTTCATCACCATGTTCAAATAATACAGTAAAAATTGATTTCCAAAAATGTTCTACCAACTCCCCTCTCCATGTAAAGGAAAATTCAGCAAGCTTCCTCGACCTTTCCGATGGCAGGATCTAAAAAATTGGAAACTTCTAGATTTCTTATTTTTTGATCATTTGAATTCTGTATGTATTAATCAATAGCACATTTTTGTACATTTTTTATTATGAGCCTTCCTTTCTTGGGCTCCAAAAGTTTAACGAGTTGTGATCAATAGATCATAACTAAATGAATATAAAAACTTACTGATGAATAAAAGCTCTTTCCTCCGAGAGGAAATCCGATGAAAATGCCATGATACTTTCATCCCCAGATCTAAATTCATCGAGCAAATCTTTCAATTTTTGCATCAACATTTTGGAATCCAAGGATCCAAGTCCTGACCTTGTGACTTTGGTTGAAACTCTGTGGAAAAAAAAAAAAAAAAAATAATAATAATAGTAAATAATAAAGTTCACAATAATAATAAAGTTCACAATTTCTGGCTGAAAAAGTTAACATGTGTGCATACGCAGCTTTCAAGAAGCATTCAAGATATTATTACTCATCCTGACAAAATGCCGATATTTCTGACTGAAGGAGTGACGTTTGCGAAACATAAAGGAGGCGATTCGAAGGACCCATCTGAGTATAGACCGATTACATGTCTCTCCACGCTCTATAAAGTCATCACATCCATTGTAACCCGATTAATTGGGAGACATGTAGCTAAGTGGAAAATTTTGTGTGAAGAGCAGAAAGGGTGTCGCAAGGGAAGCTTCGGGCGCAAAGAGCTGTTAATAATTGATTCGGTTGTGCTCAAGCAGGCTGTAAAGGAACGTCGTAACTTACATGTGGGTTACATCGACTACAAAAAAGCTTTTGATTCAATGCCGCACAGCTGGCTAATTCACGTTTTAAATATCTACCGAGTCCATCCTGTCATTGTTCATTTCCTGAAGAGCATTTTGGCGCACCAGAATCATAATACAAGGATCGGCGAGTGAATTGGAAACTGAGGTCATCCACATCCTGCGAGGTATTTTTCAAGGTGACAGTCTTAGTGCATTGTGGTTCTGTTTAGGCCTCAATCCCCTCTCAAATCGCATTCGAGAGATGAAGGTAGGGTTCCCTCTACGTCGGAACAGACAAGTACTCCACGTCATCAACCACCTAGCCTACTTGGATGATATTAAGATCTATGCATCCCAAAGAGACCAGTTGCATCAACTTTTCAAGGTGATTGAAGAGGTCAGTGATGATATTGGCATGATGCTTGGAGTACCTAAATGCGCGACGCTCCATATAGAAAACGCCGTTATAGTGCGGGAGGATGGTTTTGTGACCAATTCTGGTGACGTCATCAACAGCTTGACAATGGAGGATGCTTATAAATACCTTGGAATGTGGCAGAACTCTTCCATCCAGAAGGTGAGAGTCAAAGAGCACCTGGTTAACGCCTTCGTTGATCGGCTGAGTGCGATACTTAAGACCTCTCTAAACTCAAAACATACGACCAAGGCAATCAACACCTTCGCCATTCCTGCGTTAGCGTACTCATTTGGCGTTGTCCCATGGTCTGACACGGAGCTTGAGGGGCTTAATAGGAAAGTCAGAACCTTGATGACCAAGTGGAGTAAGCATCACCCAAGAGCCGCGAAGGAGAGAATACACGTCCCCCGCAAACAGGGGGGAAGAGGTATCCTTGATGTGAAGGAGGTCTGCCACAGCCAAGTCCGTAACCTGCGAAATTACTTCCTCAGTAGAAACGACAGCACTTTGCACGCTGCAGTAAATGCCATAGATAAATCCTACACGCCTTTGCGCCTCGCTTGTCACGATCTGAATGAAGAACAACCCTCAGACCCAGTTGCTGGCCAGTTGGAGGCATGGGCCTCCAAGCCGCTGCATGGACGCTTTTATCATTCAGTTGCGCAGGATCATGTTAGTGAAGGAAAGTCTTTCTTGTGGTTATCGAAAGGGCAGCTGTACCCAGAAACGGAAGGATTTGTTCTCGCAATACAAGACCAAGTGATCAGTACCAGGAATTACAAGAGATATATACTGAAGGAGAAGATCGAGAGCGATAAGTGTAGGAAGTGTAATGCTGCATCCGAGACAATAGATCACATTACATCTGGTTGCGCATTGCTTGCAGGGAAGGAATATACCAAGCGGCATAACAACATGGCTAAAATTATACACCTAGCGCTGGCCGACGATCGAGAACTATGTGATACTCCTGAACCCTACTACAAATATTGCCCAGCCATGGTCCTGGAGAATCAGCGCTTCCGGCTCTATTGGGATAACCCGATCCTAACCGATAAAACCATCATGGCAAACAGACCGGACATAGTGCTTGTTGATAAGCGAGATCGCACCGCTTACATCATTGATATTAGCATCCCTAATAATCATAACTTGGAGCTGAAGTATCAGGAAAAGATGGTAAAATATCTGCCCTTAGCTGCAGAAATGAAGCGATTATGGAACCTGAATATTGTTTGTATCAAGCCCCTGATAATGTCAGTAACGGGGATAGTTCCAAAAAGTTTAGTTCAACATCTTCGCGACCTCGAAATAAACAGTTACCTGCTTCATTCAATGCAGAAGTCCGTCGTTATAAGCACGTCAAGTATTGTCAGGTCGTTTCTTAATATCGAATAATTTTTTGATTTCACTTAAAATTTAATTTTTTTAAAATTTTTTTTTCAATTTTACTTTAAAATAACGTTTACCCTTTTTTTTTCAAGCAAGATAGTATGTGTTACTGACTTTGGCCTGTGGTCCGTCAGTAATACTTGTGCCGGAAGTGTTCCCTCTTCTGAGTTACAAAAAAAAAAAAAAAAAAAAAAAAAAAAAAAAAAAAAAAAAAAAAAAAAAAAAAAAAAAAAAAAAAAAAAAAATAGGAGTGAGATTCTCAAAGGTTGACAGAGAATGTTGACAAAAAGATTTCACAACTGGAATTACAGTTAACTTGGTCAGAAAATCACACATCTCTTAGGACTTGCCTCATAGCCATGTCAATCCAGTGTCCCTTTTATGAAGGTGACCCTCTATCACAAATTGTCAGCTACTAGGTAATTAAAAATGTTTCAGGTGCAAATGCACAAAAAATACTCAATATTTAAAAGTTATTGATGAGAAAAGAAAAGAGGAAGAAAAAATTAGCTCATACTTAATTAGTAGCGCTATTCTTGAAGGAGGTAAAAAACATAATTTATCGAAAGTTTATAAGTAATGTATTTATAATTGTCATATCGTTTATATTTCCACTTTTGGTAAAATATAATAAATATTTAAGTTTCTAACGTGTTGGCAAGTTTTATCGAAGTTTTAAATTATTGAAGTGTGAAATTTGTAAAACGTTGCACCTGAAGATGTAATATTGATTATGTCACAATCTGAGTAAACTTTATTTTAGACTTGGCCTTAATTTGGTTGTGCATCCGGGACATTAATCTTAAACTTATCAACATTTTAAAAACAACCCTGCCATGCTGACAAAATATGCTCTGCAGGCATTTGGGATTGCTGATTTTCTTCAGTTAAAATGCTGAATTTTTTGGAAAATTTGAGAATATATTTCTTTGAATTTTTCAAAAGATTCCATCTATAATGGAGAATTTGCAAGGGTCTGAAATTTGATGAATTTCCTGTTTAAGTGGAATCCTCTGAGTGAACTGAACACGAAGATACCCTCTATTCATAAATTGAGCAATTATTAGAGGAGATATGACAAAATAACCGATTCTGCTATAATACATGCATTTAAATGGGAAATGCCGCCAGATGACGTCACAAGGCGGCGCATTTTCTCACTTTTAAATCAATTTTTCTCCAATTTCCCATGTCAGAAAAAAATTATGAAAAATGTTGCGAACTCAGCTCATTAGGCACTTTCAGATGAAGCAATAAAAAAATTGCGTGCAAATTCTCCATTTCATGTAATTCATAGAAACTTCAAAATTTTTTATGGAGACAAGGTATTTGGAAAGTAGACTTGGTAGGTTTTGACGGATTGAAATGGGTGACATTAATTATACTGCTTAGGAAAAAACCAAAATCAACTACCTAAACTCCTAAAGCCATTGAAAACACTTGTTGTTTGGCAAATAACTAGATTCAAAACTCACAGAAAATTTCCTTTTCCCTCTGATACACTGTGTCTAAAAACTTGTCAAGAAAAATTCAACGCAGTTAAAAAAAGCATTCCATCATGTGACAGTAAAATAAATCCAGTGGCTAATTTGATTCAGATAGATTTTGGTTATAGGTTGCACAAGTTCAAAGTTTTGAAAACAGAATTCGCAAATTTCATGCTCCAAATTTAATTTTGGGGATTTTGATGAGAAACTATGTACTTTGATGCTTGATCTCTCGCTTTGTTTAAAAACTCCAATGTCTCGTGACAAAAATGATGAAAGCTACATGAAATCTACTTACAGGACAGGCTCTTCTATTCCCTGTTCATTTTTGCCCAGGCCACCTCCTGTCCAACCCATCATTTTCATTAGTTTCATTCCAACATTATCCTGTGCTAGTTTTGTGTCAGGATGTTTCCCATCTTCGGACACAATTTCAGCTTTTTGTACTCTCTCGTTACCTTTGATGACAGATTCAATATCTTTGCTGGTAACCTGCAAATGAACACGAGATGTAAAACATGAAAAAAAAGATATTATGTCAATGAAGAATTCACAAGTGTCTAAAATTTGATGGATTTTGCATTTTAGTGGAAACCACCGAGTGAACTGAACACAAGGATACCCTTGGTTCATGAGTTGGAGGAGATGTGACAAAATTATCTGACTCCGTAAAATACATGTGTTTAAATGGGAAGTGCGGCCAGAGGACGTCAAAAGGCTGTGCATTTTTTCACTTTTAAATCTATTTTGATACTATTTCCCATACCAGAGCAAAATTAAAAAAATACTGCGAAATCAGCTCTTTAAGCACTATCAGATGAAGCGATAAAAAATTTGCGTGCAGATTCTCCTTTTTTCTCCTTAATGTTGAAATCTTGAATTCTGGAATGACAACAAAGAAATGATAATGACTTGAGGGCATAGATGAAACTCATCTGTGCAATTTGGAATATGATTGTTCTAAGAATTTTTAGTGCTTGAATGGGCGTTTTTTGCCTACAGACCTGTGATCTAAAAGTCTGGTGCTCTCTAAATTAAATGCAATTCAAAATATTACGATATTCTTTTACCATTCTAACGAATCAAATACTTTGTGAACTGCATAAATCCCAGTGGACAAATAATCAAGGTCTGAATCAGGAAGAAACATCGCATGTTTTATCTTCCAAATCTGAAGTAGAAAATGGTTCATAAAATGAGAAGTACAGAAATAAATTTTTGACGGAGATAATTTAAACATAGATCAAATGGAAGTTAGATTATACAAATCGCTGGTTAAAGTGCAGGAACACGTATCAAGATTGTGGCATTCCAAAATCTCTGCTGCTGTTTAATTTCTTTGAAGAAAAACTAATAAACATAAAAACCTTAAAGTTATCACAAGCTGGAGAAGTTTAAAAAAATAGTGCTTTTTTAGCCCTCCTATAAAAAAATCAAATGGGTGAAGTTATTTGCAATGTCCAAAATCAGGATACGTTTTCCTGCACTTTAGCCAACGAGATGATTTCATTTGTATTTTCCCCATTTGACCTAAGTTAACTGGAAACTCTTATATCTTGTTTAAGATTTGATTCCCTGATCGCACTCCTCATTATGATTCACCTTCCTCTTGAAATTTTGAAGAGTAGACATGTTGCATGTCTCTTTATTTCATCCTTTGTATTGAGGCCCACAAAGCATCATGATCTAAAACGAAAATAGCAAACAAATAAAAGCAGAAGATAAAATGGAGTATTTTAACAGAGTTATGATAATTATGATCAATGAGGATGTTTCGACTCACTTGGATACTATAACACTCCGATAGTAATCTTGCATATCCATTTTGAAACGCTAAGGTTTCAGCATCTTTCTTCACAGCATCTTTGCCCACCGATAATTGGTTTTGGTCAATTTTCAATGTACACACCCACCTAAAAAAACGCACAAAATAAAACTCGAACAATACTCACTGAAAGTTATTTGAAAATAAAACGAGATTTTTCAAAGTTATTCATTAAAAACTAAGAAATGTTTAACAATATTCGCAACAAAATACAATAATGCCTGCACAGATAGACAAAAAGTTCCTGAGTTTGTTTCCACAAAAAATCTGCGATTGAAACTATGTACCACTATGAAACATCTAATCATGTTCAGTTGAAAAGAAAAACTGGAGTTGATAACAAGGCAATGCACTTAAGCCGTCTTTTTTCCCTGTCAATTTCGGTTGACGCCCTCACCGTGCAATGACCACTTGAATCGGGACATGCGAAGACCGCTAATGTCCATTTTCCAGTCTTAAGATTTTTGGAGTTCATAATACTTTTAATATGTTGATACAACCATAAAATGAAAATACTCATTTTGAGAATAAGGAAACCCAAGGACAAGTTTTAACGCCCCTTTCGTGGTTGCAACCAACTCTGAAAAGTATAATGAACTCAAAGAAACTTTAGACTGGAAAAATGGACATTAGCGGTTTTCGCACGTCCCGATTCAATTATACCTTGTTGTAGTGATGCTAATAGAGGTAGGCAAAGGATCATTTCTACAGTACCAAATAATTACCATGTGGGCGTTTGATAGGGAGTAAAATTCACCTAATTATTGCTTTAATGCTACCTTCGTAACCAGAGTCAGGGGTGAGCCAATGGCACCACCATCAGAGAATTGATACCTCTGATTGGTTCTGATATGGACACTTGGAGACTTGCCTGCTCTATGGTTGGATGGATGCGAAGTCAGAACCATCAATAATTACTTTGGGATAGCAACAAACTGCAATTGGAAACTTACAAGAAAGCACATGTATAGGGAAAAGCACCATCAAGAGTGGATGCCATAGAACAGCTTAAGGGGAAATTTTCGGGTCCTTAAAAAGATTTAAATTTTCGCATTTTTTTTAAAAAAAAAAAAAAAAAAAAATTATTTTGGCCAAAGAGGCCAAATATTGATTTATTTGTACCACTGCGAGGAGAAGTGCTGAATGTATATTTTGGCAAAAAAAAATGCCTAAAAATGTTACATCAAGCCCAAGTTTAGACGATTTTAAAATAGCATTTCATAAACGTAGTCCACAGAAGAAGCTATCAAAAGGTTTGATATAGTATTTAGGACTCAGGATTGTCAGATAAGAATAGAGCTTTTTTATCCTCAAGCAGGAAAATGAAACCAATTCCTCTGAATGAAGGTTTGCATACTGTGCTAGAGTGTAAGTGCCCAGACGATTATTTACAAAACTTGAAGTAAAATATCTGAGAGTTTCAAGAAAAAATATTCAGAACTTCTATTGAAATCAATTTTTTGCTGAGGAAATTTGGAAAAGTCTAAAAATGTTCATGCAGCGTTTATAGTCAGCATTGCAGTATGGTTCTATTATTGAGAAAGGGTTACAAATTAATAAATAAGTATAAAGTAATGTTCTTTTAGCAGGGAGAAGTTTCAAAGAAAATAAAAATAACATTACTTACATATTATTTTCCTTTTTGAAATCTACATCTAGAGACCTCTTGGCTTTGTCTAGACTAGTTTTGATCACAGCTTTAGGATTAGTGTTGGCCCCATATTGAAATAATATAATATGGCTGAATTGACCTTTGGGCTTTGGTGGAACAACTTCTGCACTGTAGGAAACATGACCTTGATTTGACCCCTGTTTGAACTGCGGGGCTTCGTTTTTTTTTCGCTTGCTGTCAGGATAATTTGAATCGCTGGGACGTTTGGAGGCTGGTGGAGGAAAAGATATAAATACAATAACCATTAATGGTCATTAGGAAATTAAAGTAGAGTTTAACATGAAATTTATAATTTTAAACAAGAAAAATTGTTCTGCTTTCCGCATTAGCTGGCTGGCTGGCTCTTGGGCGTGCTTTAAATGCCTGCAAGACCATTTTTTGTCAAGTCTACAGACTGGCTTGAGAAATGTGGTTCTTTTAAATTTGTGAGAATGGAATAGTATTAATTACTATTCACTATAATCTCTTACATAATCTATTAACTACTCCTATCTCAACTTGCTCCTGTGATCAGATGAGTACTGGACATCGTGAATAATATAAACACTAGCTAAAAGCAAAATGATTGATTCAATAATTTAAATAACTGGTTGATCAATTATTTGGCTTTTAACTCGCTTTTATATCATTCACTAACTCTTTAATGCTTAGCCAGCCAAATTTAGCATTAAAGTGTAGCTAAGCACTGGACCCATTCTTGGAACGAGCCGTAAAAATAGAGATTTGCACTGATAACAAAATTTAAAACAAAAAAACTTACATTTCTTCACTTTGGCCTCAGCAGCATCAGAAGCCTTTACAAACGTTCTCTGTAATTTGGTTTTTTGCTTCTCTCTGTGTTCAGCGGCTACCTCTACAGAGAGTTCTTCTACCAATTTCATAACTTTGTCCGGGTACCTATGAAAAGAGAGATAATTTCTACTTATACTGATGGTAAAAAGCAAGCAACTGAAAAGTTTCATTTTACCTCTTATTCCTCTTAGCAGCTACTGGGACCACAGCAAACCGATTAGTACTTCCTCATTCAACGGTGGAGTTAAATGACCACTGAGGAGAGGTAAGAACCACTATTTTTTTTATTTTTATTAAAGTATAATTTAGGTAGGTAAGTATAATTTTATTAAAGTATGTGCAAAGAATGTCGGAGGAGAGGTTGCCCAAACAAGTTTTGGATTGGGTACCACCTGGGAAGAGGCGACGGGGACGTCCCGTAAAGGGTTGGCGGCAGGGCGTTGACGAAGAGATGTTGCGGTGTCAGTTGCCCGATAACCTCTGGGAAGACAGGCATATGTGGCGTTTGGGTGTCGTAGAACGCCAGAGTGCGTTGTAAAGCGACTTTATATATATATATTAAAGTATAAGATTGAGGTTGAAGGCATAGAGAAAAGAAGGAGGTGTTTGCATCTTGAGGATTGTTTACCCCGTGACGTAGGTCGGTACAGCATGGCCGACAAAATCCAAAAAATGACAAACTACACCATTTCCAAGAATATCGCCAATAAAAGTTGTTCGCACCGACTTAAGTCATCAAAAAAGTCCAAGATGCCCAAAATGCAAACACTTCCTATTTTTTCAGTGTAGGTAAGAGGAGCTGAAAGTATTAAGTACCAGAATCAAATCCAATTAACTTTTTATAATCAATTTGGCAATTATATTTAAATATATCCAAATAATGGCCAGACCACCTTTATTGCTCCATGGAGTTATACAGCAATATCAAAATTTGTCCAATGTTTGAATAAAACCTGCCAAAATTAGCCGATGGCACCATTATGGAGTACTGTCGAAGTACACTTGTAAAATTATGTTTGGATCTTCTGTTTGCAAATGCAACCATAACTGTCCCATTGACCTTCTGAGATCGTTGAGCGTTTGGTAAAAATGTTAGGCTTTCATTTGTGAACAACAAAGTCATTGGGTGATTCCAATGGAGTCCAATAACGCTGACCGACAGTTCAACAGTTCACTTTGAAAACGCAGCTAGATAATTATTCAGTGGAATTAAGAGAACAACCAACAGCCATGGCTACAGATTTCCTACAAACTCCGAAATTTCCGTTGCTATTTAATTCGCCGGCCTTTTTAATAAGACAATATACCACAATTGAGTAAAAAATGTCAACAGATTTGGACTTGACAGTTGACATAGAATAATTGTCCCCACGCGGGGATCAAAAGGATCAATCTCGACACAAGAAATAGCAAAATTCAGGGTATAAGAGCAAACTTTCTTAGACTTCAAAAAATCATTGCATTCAATACTGTAATCAACCTCAGTGTTCAATGCAACATTTTACTTCCTGGACAAACTTTGCATCATTCTCATAAATTTTGCTATTTTTTTGGTGGAGAATACTTCTTCAGCTTCAGACACGGAGGCTACTTATTGTTCTCTTGAAGGGAACCAAGTAAAAACTACCAAGATCTGACTTGGTCCATGCAATATATTGAAGCCAGTTAGACCAAGCTAAGAACCTGAGCCACATCAGATTAAAGTCGCTAAACTACATAATTTGGATAGATTGAAAATTAGTGGTGAGATCACTCACCTGGTACCCATGAATTCAATATTGAAAAAACATTGCGCGAGGCAAATAAGTCTCTCTTCTGGATATTTTTCTTTGTGCGCTTCTATGAATTGTTTTTTGAGGAGCCAATGCTCCTCTGATTCATAAGGCACATGATACTTCTCAACGTCCCAACTCGTATCGAAAGCCATGGGAGACACGAGACAAAATTCGATGCTGGATGCAACTGCAACAAGAATTAAGATTCGTTGATACGCAGCGGGGAAAATACTTTCAGGGAGGTATGACAGAAATCGATTCTTTGTATGATTTCAATTATTTCACTGATGTTGAAGTTGAAACACGTGAGAACAACATTCGGGTCGAGAGACGCGGAGAGGAGAGAAAATTTTTAGGCGCGCACAAATATTCAAATCGGAAGTTTATGGAAGATGGTTAATAATATGAGAGAACGTAAATTTAAAAAAACTGATAATCTGAAATAGGAATCAGGAACAAACACTCGATACAGGCACGGTCCACGGTAAAGTGATTAGAATAGAATCAGACACAAGCTAACCTCGAAATAGCCATAGTGTAGTACATGGAGAACTGAAGTAAACGAAGAAATCAAGAATGAGCGACTCATCAATTACTTGCATCCCGACTACCTTTAGCGCTCTCTAGCGTACGATCCTCGCAGCTTCTGTTGGTGTTTCTGGTTGCAACTAGAGTCCCTTTATACTGAGAGTCAAGACAATTTAAATCCATTTCTGATTGGTTCCCGTATTTTAGGCCTCCACAGTGTCACAAACGGGAATAAAGATTACATTTTCACCAATTGCAAAGATTATAATCTGGAATGGACCAGGGAATCACGGGTTCGGCATGGAACAAACGGAATGAGAGGAGGAACGGAGAAAGNGGGGGGGGGGGGGGGGGGGGGGGGGGGGGGGGGGGGGGGGGGGGGGGGGGGGGGGGGGGGGGGGGGGGGGGGGGGGGGGGGGGGGGGCTGTAACGCAGCACAAGACAGGCTTAGTTAGGGTTGTGTAAATGGTATCCTTCTGGGTCCTCCCCCGACTTATTCTCGAAAAATGGACACCCCTAGAACTCAACTTTTGGTTGCATCTATGAGTTCTACGATTAGACACCACCTTTCCCTCCTATTACTTATGGAGTTCCAAGAGAAGAAATCACATTTGGACTGCATTTTAAAATTTGGAACTATAAAGTCTGACTCTTCTGGAAAAAACACTTATGTGCATAGGGAAACTAATGCCACATTAGGTATGTTGTTTTTAAACTGGGCTAGAATTTATAATTACAAATAGCAAAATGTAGTCCATTTCATCCTCGAAATAGCACCTCATAAAAGAGGGAAGTATTATTTTTCTTGTCAAACAGTCAAAAAGAGTTACAAGACACAGTGCATAAACTCCCAGCACCTAATACCAGCTACTAACACCACCAATAAGTTTTCAAGAAGTGTTTAAAACTAGAATTAAAAACATTTAAAAAAAAAAAAACTTTGGGGCGTCTCGAGGCCGTTACTGCAGCTGCCGTGCTAAGGAAAAACGCCGTATGAACATTCGAGAGTTGCCAAACTGCCCCGGATAAAACATGTATTCTTAAGAACAATTATGCGTATTTTTCCTTAAAATTTTCAGACATTTTAGACGAAATCGTGAAAAAAATTGTCTAGAAAAATCGAAGGAAAAAATTCACGATTTTCCCAGTAAATTATGGTTCTATTGGTGGAGATGCGGCAGCGTCTGTCTGAAGGTTCATACGGCGTTCTTCCTTAGCACGGCAGTTTAGGACCCCGTTAGTACCATTAAATGATTTGTGAGTCCACAGGGACCCAAATTTCCAAAAGTTAGCGAGCTCTACACCGTTCAAAGGCATAAGCGGCTCATACTTCACTCTTATTGTTTCTCACTCGTTCCGATCGGTTCGCCTTCAATATTTCGATAGGCAATGTGAGCGGCTTGGGAGTAGTAATACATAGGTTGTCCCAAAAGTACTGCACGTTTTTTTCTTATTGACGAACGGTAGTAGATATCAAAATGCGGTCTGTGTAGTCTTAAAAATCGGCCAATTACCGATAAAACAAGACAAATCCGAGCTCTCTAAGTCAAAAAATGACCAAGTTACAGCGTTTTGAAAATGACTTGTAGAGGGGACTCCTACGGGATTTTCAGCTTCTTTTCTGGGAAAAAAACAAAGAATTAAGGATTCTAGTGGTTTTATTAGATCAATTTTGCAGAATCTTACCAAGATTACTAGCATTTACTCTTCTTCACTGGATGACTGGACACTAGTTTCTTCTCAAAATACCCTCCATCACTTGCCAGACAGCGCCGCAACCGTTCTTCCCAATTCTTCAAAGATGGTTTTTTTCGAATTCTTCTTGCCTAATGTTTTTTAAGAAAGTTTCAACAGCTCTTTTCATCTCGTTGATGGAGTTGAACTTCCTGCCTCTTAAGCCCTTTTTCAACGTAGGGAATAACCAAAAATCGCAGGGAGCAAGGTCCGGGCTGATATCATGTTACCAACTTCATTCGATCGCGACGATTTCTCTGTAGAATTTTTGATCAATCAAATCTTTGTTTTTTCCAGAAAAGAAGCTAAAAATCCTGAAAAGGTCACCTCTACAAGTCATTTTCAAAACACTGTAACTTGGTCATTTTTTGACTTAGAGAGCTCAAATTTGTCTTGTTTTATTGGTAATTGCTTGGTCTTTCAGACTACCCAAACCGCATTTTGATATCTACTACCGTTCGTCAAAAAGAAAAAAACGTGCAGTACTTTTGGGACAACCTATATGTATGTAGTTGCTCGCAGCATTTCGGCCACGCTCACTCGGTTTATTCATAGCTGTAGAAGTTTAATAATGTTACCTCCCAATATTACCTATAGTTCATTTCCATTACAATTTCCCTGCTTTACCTGCTACCCAAGCAGCACAGATTACAATAAATTGCCATTACATTCGAAACCATGGGATCCCGTTTACCTCTTTTGATGTCTCACAGGCTTCGAAGATACCAATATGAATAGGTATGGGAGTTTTGATTCCTGGCCCAGGAATTTGTTCGCCACTTTCTTTAAGGTGATTCGTCAAGCTCAAGTGACGTGGTCGAACTGGCATGCGATATATCGCATCTTTTAGGTCAAAAATCTCGGCAGATTTTGAATTTTCAGCAAAAAAAGGACGATAGCCCCTGCGCATGAGGCTGAAGAATCTTTCTAAACCCAAAAATCGGCAAAATTCAGAGAAATGAAAGCAGGACAGTGTCTTGAAAAAAACCTCGCATTCGATACCGAAATCGCGATAGCTGAATCGAACGCGAGGTTTTTTTCCAAACACTATCCTGCTTTCATTTCTCTGAATTTTGCCGATTTTTGGGTTTAGAATGATTCTTTAGGCACATGCGCAGGGGCTATCGTCTTCCTTTTTGCTGAAAATTCAAAATCTGCCGAGATTTTTGACCTAAAAGATGCGATATATCGCATGCCAGTTCGACCACTTCTTTTGAGCTTGACGAATCACCTTAAGTCTTCAATTTTTTTTTTTTTTTTTTCACAGCAGGTTTACATTTATTTGGTTTATTGAAGCACTTACCAATTTTTACGTACTTCGCGTGGGATTGAAGTAGCACTAACTTTGCGCGATCGTGTTGGTACCGTATATGGATGTGAGAAATGAACCGAAACAACGGACATCGTGCGAACGAACAAATGTATACAAGTGATAGATGTACAGTGAGGTGGCACTAAATCTAACCGGTATGTGAGGACGTCGCGAACCCGGCGTGGCGGCCCGAGCGATGGCCGAAATCAGAGTGTCTTGACTGCTCTGGCCAAGGGGATGATCATCGTCGTGAAAAGAAGAGCGGCGAAGAAAGAAGTAGGGAAAGAATGCGAAGAAAAAGGTAAGAAACAATCCGTGCCAGCCTAGGCTAACGATTGTCCGCAAGGTCGCGGAGTCGCGGGCAAGGGTGTCGCCTGTCGCCGGGTTGAACAGGTAAAAAGCTAAAAGAAAAAGATAAAAGATGCAAAGGTGAGACAGGTGCTAGGCTAATGAATACTATTCATGAAGAATTGATTAGAGAGATAGATACGAACAGGCCCGCCACATCCCATCTCGGGCTCTGGGACCAGTTTTATGGCCCGGGCCCCTAGCACAGAGGGGGGTTCGGGTTCGGGGTAGGGCTGTTCTATCGGTTGTCGGTAAGCTACCGAAACAGCTCCGTTAAGAAAAAGTTACGATAAGAGCGCTCATGCCAATAGCGATCAGAGTTTTCGGAGCTGACGAAAATAAGCTGTTGCCATTTGTACATCTATTTTACGCACCACGTCGTTGCGTCGGTACTGCGCCATTTTCAATAAGAGACGACGAGTTCCGGCAAAAATTTGTTTGAACACCCTTAGTCCGGGGGGCCTCCCCCGGGAAATTTTTGAAATTTTAAATCTATTTGGACGCATTTTGAAGCTCTTATGATGGAGATTTCCCATCAATTTCTGCAAAATAATTACACCTTTTTTTACTTTCAGCACTAAATACTTTCGAATTGTTGCATTCAAAACATCTATAATTTTTTTTTGAGGGGGGCAGATGATACTTTTCAATTCTAGGGGGAGCCGGGCCCCCTGGACTCCCCTTTCGTACGTCTATGGCAAGGGAGTTGAGCCATTGAAGTCGAGGATGCCCAGACAGGAGCCTCTTAGCATCCGACAACGGAAGAAAATGAAACGCAGTTACTAAAAATATCATTCTACATATACTCAAAATCTTGAAAATAGATAGAAATCTCTAAAAAAGAAAGAAAAATTTTATATTGCCCTAGCGTGTTTTTGAAACTTTATTTACCTTTTGCGGAATTTTTAGGGTAATTTTTTCACTTTTCCCTTGTCCTTACGAGACAAAGGTTATACATGAATTCGTAGTGGCTTGTCACCCGCGTCACGGGCCCCGGTACCGTGGACCCAGTATCCTCCGCCTTGTGGCGGGCCTGGATACGAAAAGGAATAGTCCAAGAGCCAGCACCGAATTATCTAACCGGAGAGTATAAGAAATTTCACATACATTCTTAGATCGGGACACTCGAGTGTAGCAAGGATCGGGCAGTCTGGCTGGTCATAACCGCTGGGTTCAAAATTTGAGACCCATCAAATTTCCGAAAAATTGCGTAAAATTTAACCGGAAAGTATTATAGTTGATTTTAGTCTCATATTGTAGGGGTGACTTCCCTGATTAGATATCACCTTGCCAGACCGTCGAACTCCGCTGGGAAAAGGTTGCCAGACCGCCCGAAAGTTCCGAAAAATTGCGCAAATTTTAACCGGAAAGTATTATAGTTGATTTTAGTCTCATTTTGTAGGGGTGACTTCCCTGAGTAGATATTACCTTGCCAGACCGTCGAACTCCGCTGGGAAAGGGTTGCCAGACCGCCCGAAAGTAGCTAAAATCGACCTTTTCTGCCTCATTTGAATGCACAATAGTCCATAGCCAACCTATCCCAATATAGGGGTTTACCTTCCACATTCCGGAAAAAAATCTCTAGCATATGTATCCTATGTGTTTTTTAGCGCTAAGTTCGAATCTGAACTTTGCTACCTTCGATTTTTGCCGCTAAAGCCGCCATCTTGAAAAGACGTTGCCAAATCTCATTTTTGTCCAAGAATCGGTAATAACTCGTTCCCTGTGCGTC